ACGCTCCCCTGCCCCATGCCTGATAGGGTGTGCAACACTTCCCCTCTCCTTCCACCTGGTAGGGTGGCCGTGACTCTCGGCCACAAACCATACCCTAGACATGCCACCACAGCACATGTCAGCCGACCAGCCATCAGGAGGAAGTGACTGAGGGCTTAAAAAAAGCAAAAGCAGCTGATGTGAATGCCCCTTTCTGTGGGCCAGCTTTCCAGGGCCACCAGATCACATCTTATCTAGGCAATAAGCAGGGGGCCGTGTTAGAGATGAGTCATGGACATCCCTGCAGAGTTAGCTACAAGGGAAGGCTGGCTGGGAGAGGGCAGATACAGCCCAGACAAGAAACAGGGGCCCTTCTGGGGACGGGAACACATCCTTCCTTCCCACAGAGCCTGGGTGGGCTGGCTGACCTGCAGGGGCTGATTCCCATCCAGTGGGGATTTGACTGTATGGGGATGGGATAGGATTTATCCTGAAAAGAGTAAAAAAACATTTAAAGAGGAATTTTGATTTATAGATTCCATGCAATTCCAATGAAAATCCTAACAAGCTTTTTATGGAAATGAACAAGCTGATTCTAAAATTTATAAGGAAAGGCAAAGGAACTAGAACAGCTAAGATTCTGAAAGGGTCTCCCTGGGGAGACTGGCAGAGAGGGAGGAAGCGGTTCTCCAGGAAGGTTGGTGAGGGGCGAGGTCCTGGGGTGCCTGCTCCAATCCTGTGGGATAGTCCCATTTCCTCAGCTACAGGCCCTGGCCCTCCAGTGTATCTGGTCAGACAACAGAATCTGCAGAATGAGGCCACTCATCTTACTTCCGGAGGACAACCTACACACCAAGCAAGGGAGGCGATACAAAGAGGTTCCTGACCATTACTTTCTTGGCCACATATGCTTATTTCTACTCTCATCCACTCACCTCGTGGTTTTCCCAACGACTGCCCTCTTCGTACAGTTAGCACAGGCCTGATGTAAAAGTGAACTCTGCCTTTTCCAGGTGTCTGCAGTCCTTTAGCTCTCTCAAAAGTGCCTCAGAGTGTCTTCCTTCCACCCAGAGACTCGGCACTAGCCAGGTAAACAGCTATGGCATTTGCTCCTCTTATTAGGGAAGAACGTTTTATTTTTCTCCCCATCTTTCAGTTGAAGATACTCAGGTGAGACTCACTGAGGCAATGTGACTTGCCCAGGGTCGGAAAGCCAGTAACTGGCAGGGCCTGGCTTCAAACCCAGGAGCTGCTTCCAAATCTGGAGCTCTCTCCACCTGCCTAGTTCCTCCAATTCTGGGGCCTGCTGCTGAACAAAGAATTGTCTCAGCATTTACTTCCCTGAGTCTCATCCAGTGTCTAAGAAATGGCTCGATGAACTACCTAACACGAGTCAACGGAATAGGCCCCCTGTCACGTCACGTGTCTGTGCAAGGGCCTACAGGCCACCGCTAATCTTCCTCCCTGTTCCAGTGACCTGTATAAAGCTCGGGTTGGGGTTTATGTGCAGGGGGTTGGGGGGTGTCTGTCCATGCCTCCCCAACAAGGGGTTACACCACTCACCCTTCCACATTGCTGGTTCACACCTCTGCGCCTTTGCTACCCACATCCTACCCTCTAGAATTCCAGACTCAAACTCAAGAGGAATGTTCTCCATGAGGCCTTGTCCTGCTGCCCTCAGCTGAAGGCAGCCCGGTGTGGGCAGTGCATTCCTCTCAGGACACCTCAGAAGGGCTGGTGCCCACAGGGCTTCCCACCTGGCACTTAGGCTCAACCCAGGCTGACCTGAACTGAAGTGGGCTGTTCTTACCTCCCAGCAGCTGAGGAAGCCGAGATGCTCACTGGCAACTGGCCTCAGAGGTCATTCCTCCCCTCCCAGTGGAACTGGCAGGTCGCCCCTTTCTCCCCTCTGTCAAAGGTGGCTGTGGCCTAGGGGCCCTGTGGAACCTGCTCCCACGCCATAAGCATCCTGCTGGGAGTCCTCTTCCAGACTTGGGGTACAGATGAGGAGAAAGGCCCCCCTTCTTGGGATGGACACAGACTGCTACCTCCTGCTCTTCCTGGAAAGCCCACACCCGAGCCCTGGACCCTGTAGTCTGGGGTTAAGCCCACACAGATCTGGCCCCTTGGTACAGAAACCAAGGCTCTGCCCTGCCTTCCTGAATAACCCGGGAAAGCCCTTTGCTCTAAGCCTGTTAAAGTCAGGAGAGTCCACTTTTCCTAGGGGGCTGCAAATACGGATACAACTCCACTGCAAGCTAAGGCTGGGCTTCCTGACAACTGAGAGTGACTGAGCAGCCCTGCCAGGTAAGGGATGCTTAGAGAAGTCTCTAGAGGGACAGGCCCAGAAGTGAAGCTCCTGATTACCAGGCCAGACCCGTTCCACCACATTCCACCACCCAAAAAAGGCCAGATCAGAGAAAAGCGAAACAGGATCAGCTGAAGCAGAATCCAATTCAATGTCCAGCATGTTTGGTCCCTGGGCTGCCATGAGCAAAGGAGTGGCCCTGCACTTGCCAGGCTCGGCGGGCTGAGCATGGGACTTCAGAGAGGGTCTCATGCTCTACCACAAATGACGCATTAAGACCTAGCAGGTGAGCAGGCCTCTGAAGCTCGCTGACAGGAACGTGGAACTATGCGTCTCCCTCACTCTGTTTTTCACACTGTTTTCATTATGAAATATCTCAGGCACACAAAAAAGTTTAGAGTAACACAACACATGTACTCACCTCCCTGTGTGAAGAAAAGCAACATTTTGCCATATTTGAGACAGGTTTCTTCCTTGCTCTCTCTTTTTTCTTTTTTTATGAAATCACATATTGAAGCCAGTTAAAGCCTTTCCCTAATCCTGTTTCCTCCCTTTCCCAGCAGCCAACGTGAGGCCAGGAGCCGGTGATGCCCCCACGGGCATGTTTACACTTCTGCAGCTTCCGCTCCACCGCCCCAGACATCTGACCACACATTTGCTTCCTTGTTAACAGTCTGTCGCTCTAGAGAATGTCAGGACCACGAGGGGCTCCCTGACTGTGCTTTGTCCACTGTCCCTCCCAGGGGACTAGAATGGTGCCCTGTACAAATCATACAACCAATCAAGTCAGTACTTGTTGACTGAATAACACACATATCACTGGGTGCGCTTTAAATCTGATATAAATGTTCCTGCCCTGTATGTCTCAATTCTGAAGTCTGCTTTTTCTTCCACTCAACACCATGTTTGAGATTCAACCACATGGTTCAACATTCAAGTCTTCTACTTATGATCCACCCACCCCCCTGCTAATCAGTGACCCTTCTCTTTCTCATTAAGGAGATGGAGGCTCAGAGAAGGGACTTCTCAGCAAAGCAAAGATGGCCCGGAAACTGGGACTCAAGGCTCTAGGCAGCGACTGAGAACCTAAGAACAAACCAGAAGTGAACCAAAGGTTCTCTAAGCAGTTACCACAGAATGGGGGAAACTGTGCAGACACCCACCCTAAAACCACAAAAGGCTGGGGTCACTTAGCAAAGGAGCAACAACCTGGCCTTCATCTCTGTCATCAGTGCAGACCCCCTGAGGTGCTAGGGGCACTAAGGCCCAATAAAAAAGCACAGAGCCCAGAGCTAGGATGGTGAGGGTCTTGGCGCTGCCATTTAGCGTCACCAGCCTCTCAGCACAGAGCCGTTACCACCTCTCAGCCCAAGTGAGGTGGCAAGGACTCTGCAGGGCTGCTGTGAGGACAGTGTGAACGCACTTTGTAAACTGTCAAGTCACACACATGCACGCACACACACCCCCCTGCAGACTTGAAAAAGCCCTGTTTCCTTTGAGACAGGCTCCTGAATAAGAAGGCAGAGTTGAGGGGCCTGTACCTGGGGAAGGTTCCAGTCACACTGTGAAGGCAACACGAGGCTGTGGCATCAGGAAGGCCTGCTCCCAACTGCCGGCCCAGTTTCCTCCAGGGAGCATGCGTCCCCTCCTGCTGCACCCCCTCAACACACAGGCCATGGAGGCTGGCTTTCTCAGGGCATCAAGATCTACTTCCCCAGTGAGTAGGCACCTGCAGAGGCCCTGCGCCTGAAGGAAACTGCTCAGCGCAGTGGACATCAAGACCACCTGTCCATACAGACACCAAGTCTGATTCCAAGCAGAGTTCTCCAGCTACCTTGTGGCCCCACCTCAGGCCTGGGCACCGGAGGGAGGGCACAAGATCTCTGGAACTTCTGGCATGGAAGTGCTAGGAGACATGAAGGTTCTCCCCAGCTCACCAAGACCAACCACACAGCCCCTCCCCACCCCACACAGTGGCTCCACAAATGTTTCCTGGGAATTGCTGATGCAAAGCAGCATCCGAAGCTTTGCAGAGATTCTAGCCCTTGAGACTGGGGGTAGGACAGCGTGCCTGAGAGCATGGGGAAGAGTGCTAATGTTTAGGTGATTTAAGCTGACTAAACTAGATGATGAGATTTAGAAAAATAAGATAAACACTCTCCACGGATTACTGAGGGGGGCAGGGGAGGAGACAAAGAGAAAGAAGCAGAGACCTCTGAGCTGAACTCTACAGGAAGACTCAGATGTCAAAGGTGGACAGGAGATGAAAAGGAATTCCAGGCCGAGAGGACAGCATAAACAGATGACACTGTCAGGAAATGCTGAGTGCCCAGGGGTGCTTAAGCGAAACCAGAGGAGGCTGGACAAGGCCAGATGGCCCAGGCAGAGATTCACACACCAGGCAGAATTTGGACCTGACTTTGCAGGTGCTATAAAGCCAAGCCATGCAAGGCGTTTGAGGATCAGAGTGATGAGACATAAAGTGAGGGTCAGGAAGAAAATGCTGGTGGCTAAGTAAGAGCCAGATGCCCAGTGGGGGAAAGGGTGCAAAGAAGGCTCTGACTGTGGAGAAGAGTGAGATTTTCAGGTCTGAACAGGCAGCATGGGGTGGAGAGGAAGGGACAGGGTAGACTAAAGACAGAGTTGGGAGGATGCGGAAACCAAGAGGTGCTGGAGCAGAGCGCAGGGCAGAGAGCTACACATGGGGCATTACCTGTGTTTCTCGCCTTCCTCCTCCCCTTCTCTGAGCTGCTTGGTCTTTGGCTCCCCGTCTTCCTTGTCCTGAAAAGGAAGGGAGAAAACCACCCGCTCAGCTGAACACTCCTACTTTCAGTCCATACTGCTTAAGCAGCCAATGAAGAACAGGACATCTCTGGAGCCAGATGCCCTCGCAAGGACCAGCCTGGTCTTCCAGCCTCCAAGTGGGGCACATGCCTGCTGCAACCAATGGGCACAACGCTGTAGCCTTGCTCCATACCCCTCAACTCCCCTTGCAGAATTTAAAAATCCATGATGTCAGCCCAGGCCCAGGCCCGTGGTGGCCCTCAGAGAACACTAGTAGGAGGAGCTGGAAGGTTTTAGGCCATGAGAAACAAAGCTGGTTGGTGCCACGGAAAGCCCATGCTGGCAGGCCAGCAGTCACCTTCATGGGTCTGGATGGAGCCACCTGCTGAGCTGGGAGAGATTTGGGAAGAGCAGTCACCAGCAACCTGGGCAGGACAAAAGCTCAGGACCCCCGACTTCCCTTCAGGCCAGAGGCCTCTCCAGCAACACCAGCTCCCTTTAGGGGTAGCATAACTCAAACTAAGATGGTTGTAACAAGACTCACCCTTGCAATATACTCAGGGGGATGGAGGGAAGGGGAACAAGTTCAAAGTTTCTATGAGAAAAATTTCTCCTAAATCTGTTTTTTTTTTTTTTGGTCTTCCTCCTGCCCCCCTAACTCTCTGAAAGTCTAGCGAAGCCATGTTCATCTCAACTTTGACATAGCATGCTTGCTCTCCATGCACACCAAGGCCACAACAAAGGACACCTCGATGCTGCTTCCACCTGCAGCAGAAAATGCCTTCCCGGGCTTTCTTCCTTACCATGTGACTACTGCACTTAGATGAGACCTGCCGTGAGAGAAACGGACACGCAGGGTGTGTGCAAGTGTGTGTGTTCAAATGCATGTGACCACGCCCTCAGTGCTTGGGTGAGAGGCTCCAGGGCAGTCTTTTTCCAGGGTCTCCCCACACACCAGGGTTGGCCCTCCAGAGGGTGTCAGTGTGCATTTCATCCCTCGCAGCGACCTGCCTTTGACTCTCACTGGAGCACTGTTCTGAGGAGACATCTGTAAGCCCCGCCACAGGGAACCTATGCTGATGGATATAAGAATGAGCTGACATGTAAATTATTAGTAAAATAGCTGCTGGTACTACTTCTCCTAGAAGTCTGTTTATGCCACTGACAAGTGCCTCCTGAGATGGCATTCGCTTTATGAGTCACTTCCTGCCGGTGTTCATGATGGAGACCCTGGGAACAACCAGACCCCACCCTACCTTGGCCTCACAAATACGGGGGAGGAGACCACCAAAACTAGGCAGGAGGCCTGGCCCAGAGAAAGGCGTTTGTGACGTGAACAAATCAAGATCCCCGCCTCGTTCTCTCAACCCAGGGCAGCTCAGTCTCATGAGGATGAGGCAGAACGAGTGATAGGAGCCACATGAGAGAGATCAACGTGGTTCTGTGGGGTGGGAAGAGGACTTTCTACCAAGGGATGAGCAGAATTTGAGTGCTGCAGGATGGGGAGACAGGAGTAGGAAGGGCATTCCTGGAGGGGAGCACAGCTTGAGTACAGGCAGGGTGTGGTCTGAAGAACAGGCAGGTGGTTGGACTAACAGTCAGGGTGAAGGTGAATACTGATAAGGCTGTGAAGGCAGGTGGGGCTGATCACATAGGGCTCTGGCTGGAGTCCTAAGGCAACAGAAGCCAGAGGACAGCTGCTGGAGGAAGGACCAGAGGCCTGTCCTAAGCGCCTGCTGACCTCACTGGGTAAGCAGGCCCGGGGGTAGAAAGGCAGTTGTTTGATGATGACCAAAGACGAAGGGAGGGCAGAGTATAAACTCTTTACTGAGAAACAAGTTAGGCTTCTCCACATGGCTCCCAGGGCTGCTGGGGCCTGGGTGTGACCTTCCACAGAGGCCTAACTGACACATGCACCCTCCCTCACTAAATGCTAGCTAATGAAGCAAGCCAGAAGCCTGGATATTTGAATAAAAAGCTCCTTCCCAATTGCCAGCCAGCGGACTGCTTGATGGCCAGATATGCCAGCTGCAGGGGAAGGGGCTGGTGGATGTCTCCTTCTGGTGAGTAAGGACAGAGGTGGAAGAGCAGAAAAGGCTCAGCTTTCCCCAAAGTGGGCTGGTGAGCAACCCCACATAAAGGCTTCTTTCCATGCGGGCTCTGTTAATCTGGAGCAGCTGGTAGAAGGGCGTGGGGACTGTGGGAACAGCCTTTGGGAGGAGGCCTTTGCAAACACCACGCCTCTTCCCAGCCCTTGAGCAAGGGCAACTCAGTGGCCACCGCTGCCACCACCCTCCTGGAGTCCCAGAGACACTCAAGTGCCTCGGCAAAGGCCAAGTTATTCATTAATAAATGAGAAAACACCCAGCTATCTAAATGACATTTAAAAAAATGGCCGGCAGACTGGTGAGTGGGGTGCAGCAGTAGCTCTGCAGATGGCACGAGGTTAAGGATGACCCCAGCCTGAGATGCTGTGCAAAGAGCAGGGGCTCAGGAACGATAAGAAGCGTGTGGGGCAGGAGCAGGTGAACAAATAAACAGGCCACATCAGGGGGACAAGGAGCACTCTGGTCTTCCTGCTAAACAGTGATTCAGTTAGGACAGTGAGCATTCATGAGGAGGAAAGAGCCTTGAGGCGATCCTGGCCTAGGCCACAAGGCAGGACCCTCACTGTCTGGGACGGTGTGGGGGAAGTGCAGACCAGCCTCACGGCCCACCCCAGCCTAAGAGACTCAGAGAACCCTCAGAACTGAGGGGCTCGCAGGACCATTGCCTTCCAGGTCCTCAATTCAACCCACAGGGACCCCAGCAAACTGCCGGCAGGGCAAGGGGAAAGATCTGCCCAAGGTCACAGAGCCTGTCAGTGGTAGCTGCAGGTCTGATCACGGTCCTCCTGATCCCCACCCTGCATTCTTGCCCAGGAGATGAGAGATAATGCATCAAGGGTAGTACTTAGTTTCTAAAAACAGCTCTGATCCCAGTCACCTCTTCCAAGCTCCCTAACCGTTGAGATCTGGCCATGTGTGCTCAGACCGGCCACGGCCAGCGCAAGTCTAGTCTAGGTCTAAGCCCTGGAGCACACTCATGGGAGTGCACGCAGGTCCCAAGGTGCATGACAACCACAGGGAATCGAGAGAGGCCTCGCCCACCCCGAGACCCTCAGATCCCACTCACTGCCTAACCACTCCCTGAACACACGCTTCCCAGATCTCCCTGCCTTTCTCCCCCCTTCCCAGCCCGTGTTCTCCATTACTCCCCCATCTCCTGGGTCCCCAGCACAACCCAGCCCCCAGCTATTCCCCTCCACCCTTGCCTGCCAGCCAGCCAGTCTGCCACCCCTTCTACTCTGGAGAACGCAGCTGCCTGCTGCCCTTTTCTCCTTTTTCTAACCTGAGATCTCCCCTAAGTTTCTTGCCACCTCATCCATCCACATCATTGGCGTCCTCTTCAAAGACACCAGTCAGATCATACTGCCCTGGCCCTCTGCTCAAAGCACTCGCGGGCTCCCACACCCCCAGGACAACAGTCATTCTCCTCAAGGTGCAGCCTCCCCAGGCCCCGACACTAGCTCTGCAGCCCGTTCACAGTGGCCCCTGTCCAGAATACTCTGATACCTGACTCTGTCCTAAATCCTGAAATGTCCATTCTGATATCCCCAAAGAAAACCCAATCTCTGGCCAGTCCTAGAGGCCAGCTTAAAGGTAACCTCCTCATGGCAGCCTTCTGAGGTTCCCAGGCAAAGGGTTCTGTTGCTCCTCTGGGTCTGATCCTAGGCCAAGACACAGGCCTGTGGTCATTTCTATTCATATCCAGGCCTTATTAGCCCTTCCCCAAGTTCCTCTCAGTGTGGGGGCACCACCTGGAGCCTCCTCAGGCCTACCCCAGACAACATTCATCACCTCTTTGCCAGCTTAACTACTACTCTCTCCACCAACTCCAGAAGAGTCAAACTCTTAGGAATACTGGTGGATGGAGGACAGGAAAGCCACAGCCTTGACTGGGGTCCTCCCTGCAGCCCGCTTGCCTGTTCCTGGAGGTACCCCATATTTCTGACGCCAGCCAGGGTCTCCACACCTAGGCCCCGCCCCTGACCTCACCTTTCCCAGAGCCTGCAGGAGGAAGGGGCTTTTGAGGCAAGACTTCAGGGGGTCTCAAAAACAGCCCTGGCCAAAACTGAGCCTGACTGATCTGTTTCATAATGTTTGAAATCCTTTCCCCAGGAACAAAACTCTGTGTAGGATTGCTATTATTTCTTCCTTAAATGTGTGATAAGACTTCGGTGAAGCCATCTCGGCCTTAAGTTTTCTTTGTGAGGTTTTAGACATAGGGCTATACAGATTTTCTATTTCTTCTTGAGTTGGTCTTATTAATTGGTATCTTTCAAGAAATATCCATTTCACCTAAGTTACTGAATTTACTGGCATAAAGTTGCTTATAATATTCCCTTATTATCCTTTTAATGCCTGCAGGATCTGTGGTGATATCCACTGATGTTAATAATTTCTATCTTTTCTCTTTCTTCATTAGACTAGATTAGAAGTTTATCAATTTGGGGACACATCCAGACTTGGTGTTTTAATGACATGTTTGCTTTTCGGTCTCCCCCTGGAAGAAGCCCCCACAAGCTGAGCACACTTGTCTCTGGATGGGGAGTATCAATCCACATTTGTTGCCTGAATGTAGGACGACCACCAGAAGCTCCATCGGCCACCAGAAATGCAGCAGAGAGAGGCCGAGAAGGAGGCTGCCGCATCTCCTCCTGCTGCCCTTTCCACCTAGGCAAAGGCGAGGGTCCTTCTTCCTCACACCCCCGCCTTCCATCTGTGTGCCGGGTATGTCGTGGGCACAAGGATAAAGGAAACAAGAACCCTGTCCTCGAGGACCTCAAGGCTACTCAAAGGAGCAGACTTAGAAAGTATAACTCGGTGCCACGAGTGGTGAGGAAAGCTTCATTAAATGTTCGGAGAACTGGCAAAGGACAGGTGTTGTCAGGGAAA